CCCAATGCAGAAGAGGATGCACGTCGGCCCCCTGGATCTCGCCCTGGCCGCCGTCCACGGACGCCCCTGATGCGTCGGGGCGCCCGTGCGACCCCGGGCCCGCTCGGCCCTGGCCAACCGCGGGCCGCCGAGCTCCGGGCCCGATCGCCAGCTGAGCGCTCGCCCAGGGCCCACAGGTCGTCCACGATGGGCCCCCGAAGCGGCAGCTCGGTCGGACAAGGCTTTTCAAAGGTCACCCGGCGGCCCTCGGCCAGCTCCGCTCGGAGGAAAACGGCGCGGGCGGCCGCGCGCGCCCGGGCCGCCGGCGGGGCGAAGCCCCCGGGGGCGAGGAGCCGCGAAGGGCCGGCCCACGGAGGCAGCCCCGCGAGGGTCGGGCGCTGGCGGGCTGGCCCTGCCCTTGCGCCTGCCCTTGCCTTGCCAACAAGTGAAATAATGCTGCGGGTCGCGCTTCCATAGCTGGAGGGCGCGCGGCTGGTTCGCCGGCAGGTCCGAGATCGCCCGCTGCCACGCGTCGGGCATCCTTGCTCCGAGCGCTCTGTCGACGCGGGGGGCGCCGATGCTAGCGCGCCCACTTCTCGGGGCCGTGCGCCCGGAAGCCCGCCGCCGCATTGCGAGCCGCGAGCCGCGGGTAAAAGGAGGGCGCCGCCAACGCGCGAGGTCTCTCGGGCCCGAAGGCCGCTGGCCCGCGCTCGGGGGCAGCGAGCGCGGACGACGAACCTGGTCTGCTAAATCCTGGGAAGCACATGTCGAGCAGGCCGGCCAGGTCGACGGCGGCGGCGTGGCCAGGTACTCCGCCGCGCTCGCCGAGCGGCTCCGCGACGCACTGAATCGGCTCGCAACCGTCGGAGCGACGCAGGAACCCTTGAATTGCCGCCGCCTCGGGCCAAGCAACTCAGCCTCGAGGGCGCAGGAGACTAATCGCCGGCGGCCCCGTAGAGATCGTTGAGAGCGACGAGACACATGTTGCCCCGAACGAGAATTGCGCCCCTGCGCATGCGCCCGAACTGTGCGAGCTCGACGCCACGAAGCCGCAGCAGCATAGGACCGGGGAGATCACCGGCGAAGCCCTGCCGAACACCTCCTCTCATGGCCGACCGAGGTGCCCTGGGCGCGCCCCCAGCGGACCGCCCGCGAAGCGCAGCCAGTCTCCAAGGCCGACCGCGACGGAGGCCGAGCTGAACTCCTGGCCCCCGAGTCGCAGCCACCTCCGCCGCGCACTCCGCCATCTTGTCGCACGGTCAGCTCGGAGAGCCCGCCGTCGGCGACCCCTCCCCCGGCGCCCGTCTGCAGCTCCGCGGCCTCCGCCATCCCCCAGGAACCGCCCTTGGACTTGGCCCGCTGGATGGCGATGATGCGCCCGGCCAGCGCGCCCTTGGTCGCGGCCAGGCCCTGCGCGTTGCGCGCTGATGAGGTCACTCGCGAGGGCCAGCGTCTGCGCCTCGCGCCGGCCCCGCAACTCGGCGAGGCCCGAGTGCGCCTGCGCCCGAGTGGTGACAGACGCCTGGCTGAGCTGCTCTGTTTCCGCGAGGCGCCCGCGGCTCCGCTTGCGGCGCGCCGTCGCGAGTCGCCGGGAAGCGCCCCGACAGCGCGCCTAGGCACTTGGCCGCGAACGCCAGGAGGTCGCCTTTAGCCACATACTTCTCCGTCTCCGCCTCCAGTTTGCGCACCAAGGCGGGGCCGGCCCGTCGGCTCTTGGTTTTGGACCCCTCCATTGAAGGTGCTCGCTGCTGCTGGAAGAGCCGGCGTCGTCGCTGCTCGACGAGTCGCTCGAGTCGACCTTGATATTCTCTTGTTGTTCATGTTGTCGGCCTTCTTCTCCCTTTCCTTGCTTTCCCCATTGTCTGTCCAATCCTTTGAGCCGCCGCCACTCTGCAGCTGACTCTGGGTGGCCCGCGCCTCCTGCGGCATCTTCGCCAAGTCCAACGGCGCCGCAGCTGCTCCTGCCGCCGCGCGTCGGGCACGCCCACCGCCGCGAAACACACGCCCGCGGCAGTGGGACCGCCGCGGCCGCCGCAGCCGCTCCCGGCGGCGGCGCAGCCGCCAGGGCACTCCCCCCCCCCCTACGGCGGAAGAGGGCCCCCCACTGGCATGGAGGCCGGCATCCCAGGCAGCTGCGAGCCCGCATCGACAACGATGCCAGCTGGCACGGCCAGGACCAGTAGCGCCGCGCCCACGCCCTGGGCTTCCAGACGAATTGCGGCGAGCTCGGCCACGCTGGGGCCCCACTGGGCGGCCGCGCGCGGCGGCTCGCAGACACAGTCGACCGCCCCAGCAACGATGCCGAAGGGAGGCGCTCGCAGAGCTCCACCGCCAGGCACGACGGCGGCCCGAAAGTGCCACGGCCGCAGCCGCACCAGCACCCAAATGAAGTTGATCCCCGCGTTGTCGGTGGTCAAGCCGAAGCTGACGTCCCGCGCACCTGGCCGAAGATCAGCACTTAGTCCCACTCGTCAGTGCGGGCGATCGGCACCCAGCAAGGCGCTGCGGCGCCCACGGCCGCGCCCCCAGACAGCGCCATCTCTACCAGCGCGTACTCAAGAACGGTTAAAGCCGCTGCGAGCTCGCGACGGCGTACGCCCTCGGCCCGCCGAACATCGTGGCGACCACGAAGTCACGCAGCATGCCCGGGCAAGCGGCGGCCGCCTTGCGGACGGCCCTCCAGGACGCGCGCGCGCCCCGTGCCACCTCCTCGCGGTGCTCCCACGCGAGAGCCGCCAAGGAGCTGAGGAAGCTGGCCAGCGCCTGCAAGGCCGCCCAGCCCCAGGCGGAGGCAGCTCTCGCGCCTCGGCCCAGCGCGGAGACGCCGCACGCCCCCGCTAAGCCCACAGCCTCGAAGACCTCGGGAGCGAAGTGGGCAGCGGTCTACCAGGCCGCCTGACTTCATGGCAGAGCGACCGAGCAAACGAGGAGGGCTGATCGCGCACAAGGAGCAATGTCTGGGTCGCCCATCGTGGTGGCCACAACAAGTCGCCGGCCGGCGATCTTGAGCCAACATATGGCAGCATGCACAATGTGTGCTGTCATGTTAGCAGGATGCGAAAAGAACTCTCTCGGAAGAGGGAATGCAATTGTTTTTTTCTAAGGGACTCTACAATCTGCTTAATCGTTATGTGCCTTGCAATCCTAGCCACATGCATCCGAGACGAGGCTGGATGAGGCATCTGGCAATCAGACAAGCATACAACAAGCCCTGTATACATATATATATATACACATATCTATATACGCGTACATTCATGTATCCAAACATACACACATGCATCCATGCATACATACATGCATATACACACCTATCGATACATATATATATACATACATACAAATATATATGCATATATATAAAAATACATATATACATATATAAATATATACATTTATATATATATATATATATATATATATATATATATATGTATGTATGTATGTATACGGATAAATGTAATAATACTGTATGTACCCATGCATGAATTTATTGATTTAGGGGGCACGGTGTGTCAGAGGACTTTGTTTACTCAAGATGGCTCCAAGAGGGCCTTCGATGTTCTCAGGGGGAAGGAAACCTAGGACCCCCGCGCTTCCATCGATCGATAGCCTCCGAGATGGCCTCAAGAGGTCCTCCAGGGCTCCCAAGAGCGCACCAGAGCGTCCCACGAGGGCCCAAGATGCGGTTTGCCTCCTTATTGTCCTCCTCCTCGGGCCCCCCTCGGGTCCCCACGGGCTCCCCCCGCCCCCCCCCGCAGGCCTCGGGGATGGCCCGAAGAGGCCCTCCAAAGCCGCCCCCTTACGCCCAAAGATCTCGCTGTTCATCCTTTGTTTCACTATCTGTACCTCTTCGTCCCGTTTCCCGTCAACTCGCATGGGCACGGTTTCTGCAAGGGCTGGTGGGGACGAATGAAGCACGAAGAAATTGCATATACAATCTAATAACGTTAACCGTAAGATGGCCGCCAACCGTATACGGAGGAAACGGAGCTTAAGGTTGAGTAAGAAGAAGAAGAGGAAGAAGAATAATAATAATATCGGCAAAATACACTGCAGAAGCATGGTGAAGGTATGCGCGCCTTCAGCCTCCCCAGACGCCTTCGTTGCAGCATGCCTCCCCTGGCCATGCAACAACTAGAGGCTCCAACGCGCCGACTGCCAGAAGATAACTCGCTGGAACGAATAAAGCGTACGTTTTGCACACAAGGGAACGACTACATATGTAGTGGCGCACGCAAAGGTTCATTGTGATGAAAATATCGTGTCTTGAGAAAGCCATTTCCATCGCCGTGATTGGGCCACGTAAGCCATCCTTCGTATGTCACGTTGCTTACATGAGGTCCCAAAGGGACGGGACACGATTAGCGGTGGGCGCGCTTGTGACTGAAGTGGCCTATGATCGGTGTATTCATCACTCTTGCGCCATCGGATCAGAACGAGAACCCTGCGACCGGTGAAAGATACTCGTCGTGGGCGTCGATGCGAGTGGTACGCCTGTGCGGGCGTCATGATTTGTGGTCGCAGCACGGATTAGACTGCAATGCAAATTGCCATCGTGGCCTCTGCTGTCCGAAATTGCCCGATGATGGCCAAAGATGACCACCGTCGCGGACTAAGGAGCTTGCCATTAATAGAAAGCTTCATTCGGTTCCTGCGGTAGCAGCTCTTGCCAACAACAATGCAATGCAACAGACATGCTACGCTGCAGGGTTGCTGCCGTTATGTTGCAAGCGCAATTGCGGGCATGCGAGGCCACGCGACGACCGCTCCCAACTATCAGCCGAAGGCCGATCGTATCGGCATTGCGGTATCACGACCTGCTCCATCATCGTCCAAGCAGCAATCGCGTCAACCCCAATCCAGGGATCTCTACAACGCACAATCCTGTCCAATTGTCCGAGACGCGCCGCGAAGACGAGGGGGCCCCACGAAAACCCACGGCTTTCGTGGGGCCCCCTCCCGAAAACACCTCCCTCCCGAAAACGGGAGGGAGGTGCTCTTTCCGTGTTTCCAAGAACCTGAGCGACCAGCAGGAGAGCCACGGCCTCCGTGACCTTATCCTTTGCCTGCTGCCCGACGACGACGGCCTCCTGCGCCTTCTCCATGGCCTCGTCGAGCTCGTGCGTGCCGAGAAGCTCGTTCACCGCCTGGTGCGCAGGACAGGGACTGGGCGGGGCAAGCGTGGCACCTGGCCCCTGGATGATCTGGAGGACGTGTGTTAATGCTGACGCGTGTTTGTTCACGACGTCCCAGCGGCGCGCGGAGCGGCGAACTCAGGGCCGCCACAGGCTCCCATTGGTCATTGGTGGATGTCACCGAGGTACGATTGCACACATCGTGTCTGCATTGCCTGCATCATCTCACCAACACTCCAATAACGACCCCCTCCGCTTCTCCGAAGGCGCGGGGGGCATGCCGTTCACAAGGACTGTCGCTTCTACGAGGCACCCTGCCCAATGCCTTCTTGGAATGCGCCAGACTTCCAGCCTCGTGATTGTGCACGACGTGGCCCCCTCTGGACCTCTCGACGCCATCCCCAGGACATGGGGCGCGTCGCGGGCGGGGTCCAAGGACCAAAACCGGGTCTCCAGAAGCCAACATTGAAAGACTCCAAACAGCCATCGTGGTTTCTATACAACGCCATACGCTTGGCCCCCCGCATTCGTGAAGGCCGCCCCCTTCGCCTCCCCGCCACACTGAGACCTCCTGTAGGCCGCAGAACCTGTCCTGGAATGCGCTCAAACGAGGATTTCGAGGTGGACCTGGGGGTGGCGACGAGGAGCAAACGGGTGGCAACGTCAGGGTGGGCGCCTCCCTTCCCTTGTGCCCTCCGTTTTTCTGCCCTTTTTTCGGGCCGGGCGAAAGGGGGGGATAGCAAAGGGGAGGTTTGAGAATCACCTAACGTAGCTGATTTCCCCAGCGCCTCCCAGCGCCGGAGGCGGCCATGTCTCGAGGAATGGGCCCCTCGGCGGGGCCGAAACCAGCTGCATGCAGCAGATTTCGTAACCGCCCCTTTCCCAATATCTTCCCTCGCCCGGCCCGACTTTTGCGCGCCGCCGGCGCCTGCACCAGCGGCTCCACCTCGCCGAGCGCAGGCAACCCCGCCAGCGCCATGGCCGCGAACAAAAATCCGCGGGCGCACGGAGGGTCCCGGCCGCCACCTGGATCGCCCCGTCGGCTGCCGGGTCCTGGGGCTCGAGCCGGGGGCAGCCTGGGACGGCGACGAGGCCCCCTGACGGGGCCACATGTTGCAGCTCCCACGGTGGCCAGTTCTGGGGCCCTTCCCCGCCGTTATGCCCTTACCTGAGCAGCTTATTGGTTATATATATAGATGTATATATATATATATATATATACATATACATATATATATATATATATATATATATATATATATATATATATATGTTTAGTTCTGCATGCTTTATCCAGGCGGTGAACAATTCTGCTACTGCGCATCGTCCGTCATAGCGAGAGCTGTGACACGATCCAAACTTGACAACCCCACAGTTGCAGTGAAAAGGGATGGGCGAGTCTGAAGTGACTCGAAGCTGTAAGCGTGTGGGAGCACAAAAACAGGGGGCTACGGAGAGAACGCTGTACTGACAATGGGATAAGCCTCTCTCAACCTTCAACGCTGGCACAAACGGCTCTTCTGAGTGCTTTTTTTCCAAAAGTGACAAGGGGATATATCACTCTCGACCTTCACGCGCAAGCACAAACAGTTCTGCATGCTTTATCCAGGCGGTGAACAATTCTGCTACTGCGCATCGTCCGTCATAGCGAGAGCTGTGACACGATCCAAACTTGACAACCCCCAGCCCGAATGGTTCACAGGGTGGCAGTGGGTGGGCTTTCAAAAAGCGACTTCTCTAAGTGGCTAGCACACGCGAGCCTAGAGGGAGCCAGAAGTGTCTGCACCATTACATCGGCAAGCTTCCTGGGGTAGGCGGCAGCGACAGCTGCCCATTTCACCCCCGGAGAGGCTAGCCCTTCTAGGATTATATGCTGTTTCCCGGAAAAGGAGCAGCATCCTTGGGAGCCTCGACAGAGCCGTGAGAGCTTTGAGAGGTCCTCGGGGAACACATTGAAAAAAAATAATTTTTGGTTCGTTTCCTCCATCTAGCTCCGTACCCACACTGGTCTAACGTAAGAAAAAACCGTTATATTGCCGAGCCAAACGGATCAGCTCGGGCGCATGCCAAATTCGTGAACTGACTGGATGTTCTAACATAGCAGGTACGCGTGAGCGACATAATCTTCGCAACAGCCACAGAGCAGCACGAAAAGTCTGATTGCCAAGGCGCAATCTCTCACGTTGACGAGGGGTCAGGTTTTGCCACGGTAGTCCCCATGGTTCATTATTTGAGCGAGTCTTCTGCCCCCCGCGCTCGGCAGCTACGCCCCAGGGCCCGCGCGGAGGCGCAAGACTGGCTGCAGCTACCTCGCCTCGCAGGACCTGAGACTGGACGTGCTTGCGAACGCGGCGGCGGCATAGGTCCTCGGCAGCCCCCCTCGCAGAGCCATGCCCCCTAGCTTGGCAACCCTGTCCCAGGCTAGCTGCGCCGACGGCGCCGCCCCCAGCGAAGCAGTCAATCAACGAGGATTTTGCCCCGCAGACAGCGTCTAGCAAGCGGAGGCTGACAGGGCGCGGGCGTCCCAGCACGACGTCCGCGAGATGTCTTTCGCACAGCTCGCAGACGATCTGAAGCCCCGGGTGGAGTCTGGCCCAGCTCTCTCCTAGCCTGGCCCCCTTCTCGTAGCGGATCGTTGATCTGATTTGCTTCCATTGCCCCCGGCGCAGGACCTCCTCCGCCGTGCGCCAGCACCTCGGCGCATCTATGGAGGGGCCGCCGTGGCGCGTCTGGTAAGGGATGACCCTGCCCCCTACGCCCAGCTCCTTCACGCTGCTCTGGAAGGCACACATGTAGGCGGGATACTCGAATGTGAACACGAGGCCGTCGGCATCGCACTTGATCAGCGGCGGCCATGGCGGAGTCAGGCTCTGCGCCCACTTGCTGTCGAGGGCAATGCGCGCGTCCGCCAGGCCCGTCTTCGACCTCTCGATGCGGTCCTTGGGGAAGGAGAGGATGCTCCAGTTCTTGGAGACGCCGGGCGTGGGCCTGATGAGCCCCCTCCTCCTCAACCCCATGAGCCCCCCGGGGCGACAGTGCGCACTGAGCGAGAGCAAGAGGAACACGCACATCAGCAGCCCTCGGGTCGCGTCTAGGCGCCGCGCCCGGGCGGCCCAGACTCCCAAGGCCCGCGCCCGGCGGCTGCGAGCGGGCGCCCGCTTGCGCCAGCCTCGCAGCGCTCGCCAAGCATTCGGCAGCTTCTGGGGGCCCCACTTGCCGAACTCCGGCCTCGAGTACATGAGGCCAGCTAAGGCCTGCTCTCCCTTGGCCGCCTCGTGGCCCTGGAAAAACTGGTAGTTGAAATGCTGGGAGAGCGCCTTGTCCACTTGGGTGGATGACCTCAGCGCCAAGGCCGGGGGGCGGTCGCAGTAGTCGATGAGCTCCACCACCTCCCTCTCGCACCGCTCCCGCACCGGCTTCGTGGCGCTGCTGGCCTTTAGGAAACTGAGCCCCTCGCCCATGGCACTGGCCACCGCCTCCGAGGGGAACTTCGACCGCCGCTGGCGAGCCTTCTTCCTCAGCGCCACCGCCCGCCTCGGAACGGCGCGCTTGCCTCCGCTCTGCTCGCTCGCGGCGCTGCCGCTGTCGTCGACTTCGTTGCAGCCGCCCGCGTCTATCTGCTTCCGCTTGCGCCCTGCAGCGGACGGTCGCAGAGCTGGCGGGCCCAGCTCGCCCCCCGCGCGGACCGCGGGATCAGGCGCGAGACCAGGCTCCCATGGGCGTCTTCTCGGGTCAGGCGTGTCTCTCGCCTGGGGCCGGGGCGAGCGCGGGTCGCGCAGGCCCCTCGGCGAATCACCCTCGGAAAGAACGGCGCGAGCCAAAATGGAGGAGCCGCCAGCGGCGGAAGCGGGGGAGGGCACGCGTGGAGCATTGCTGTCAGGAAAAAAGAAGGGAGAGGGCTTCTCATTGTCATTCGTCTCCGTCCCCCAAAAACAGCGAAACCTGGCGTCTGGTTCGTCTGCCAAAAGATTGCTTGATTCGGGCCCGCTGAACACCCTGGAACCCAGGTCCGAAACATTGAACTCTGAAGGTATCCAGCGGACCAGAAGTTGTATGTTCCTAGAGAGGCAATATAGGCCTGCATGCGTCGAATGATAGCGAGCAGCCTGAAATCGAGACACCTGCTGCGACTGACGGCAAGGACAACTGACATATTATCAACTAGAATCACTGCCTCAAGTCGTGGGCCCTCTGGAAGGTAGCCAAACGCTTGACGGCCACAAGGGCCGCCCTTGCCCCCCTCAGAAGAATGTTTTCATCGAACAACCACTTACGTACATAGCAGGTGCGCCAGAGACTGGACGCGAGGGGCCTGGCGGGCACCTCGTTCAAACTAGAGTCTAGCGTCCAAGCGCCCTCGGTTCCCGGGTCTGCGTCCGAGTCGGACACTTGCCACTTGCCCGACGGGTCACGCCAGAAGCCCGCGGCCTCCAGGGCAGACTCGCGGGCTCCGCAGCCACCAGACCGCTCGAAGCGCGAGCGCTCCAGCACCCGGCCCACGGCAGAGACATCCTCCGGGCCCCGCATGGCCTTGGCGATGCCCATCCCCTCGACGGAGCTATCAGTCTCGAAGACCATCGGGTTCCACGGCCGCGCCCAGTCGCTCTCCAGGAACAGCATGAGTCCCTTGAACGCACGAAGCTCCTGCAGGCACTCGTCCCACAGGTAGCCGGCCCCGTCGCGATACTTGTGCGTGACAGCGTACACCGTCTGCCACACCGAGAGACATCCTCGGTTGGCGAGGCCGGCGAAGGTGCAGTGGCCGACCACCACCTCCAGTGCCCAGCCCGAGCACTTCGGGCGTCGTAGGAGAGCTTCGATGGCACGGCGGATCAGCCACCATCGCTCCGAGGTCACTCGCGATCGGAGGCCCCCGCCCAGCAGCTCGACGCCCAGCGTCTTGCGCGTCTCGTCGGTCGCCGCGGGCTCGTGCAGCACCAATCTCAGCTCGACGAAGTGGCGCTGCAAAGCCGAGATGGCCTCCCCGACCTCGTAGCGCCCGCCTGGCGCGCAGGATCCCGAGGTTGTCGACGTACATGTAGTGCTGCGCCTGACCTGCGGCCGTCTCTGGCGGCAGCACCGTCAGGGGCGGCCCTCTGTCATGGAGGGGGCCCCCCAGAGGAGTAGAGGCGCCTCGCAAGGTCTGCAGCTCGTTTATGCGCTGGGCAAACCAGAGACTCCAGGTGAAACCCGTCGGCAGCACAGCCCGCACTGGATACGCCGGCGAGGTTCTTCCCAAGCGGCGACCTCAAACCATAGTCCCCTCGAGCCCGAAGACGTGCGCAGGGACCGCGGGCAGCCCGAAGTGCGCGGACATCTCGGGCCTCAGCTTCAGACATGGGACCGCGAGCTTGAGCTTGCTGAGGTACTCCACCGCCTCCGGGCTCTGTGGCGCCATGCCGGCCGGCAGCACCACCTCGCCTCGGCTGAAGCCCTCGGCCGTCAGCAGGCCCACCCCAGGTGGGTCAACAATGACCTCGTTCACACGACGAGCGTCGACGATCAGTCGGAGCGACTTGCCATCACTCTTGAGAACGCAGAACAACCCTATCCGACACTTCGGGCTCGCAGCCCAGTCGACATTGCCGATGTCGAACAGCTTCCGAACTAGACGTTGGTATTCCTTCTGGTGAAACTTTAATTCGGGGTCCAGGTGCGGCTCGATCTTGGGCAAGGTGTCATCTTGCCCCAGCATGCCCTCTTGATACACTAACAAGTATTTAGCGACCTCCTGTGGGGCTACCTCATCAGCGTAAGGGCAGCTCCGGACGGACTCTGGCAAGGAAATGCGGTCGAGCTTGAAGGACGCGACACGAGTGGTGGCCACCCCCGCCTCACGCGGCGAGTGGCCGCGCAGCATCCGCTCGAGGGCCGCCGTCGCTGAGGGGGCGAAGTCCGGGCGCCGGCCCGACGCCTCGCTCATGAAGAAGCAACTGGGCATCATCCGTGGGAAGGGCCTCTCGCCCGCTCGATGCCCTGCCAGCCAATTAAGTGCACTGATCGCCTCATTCGCCACGCCGATCTCCAGCTGCTCTCTGCGCCTCGCCCTCGCGGCCCCCGCCGAGGCGGCCGCCAGCGGCGGCGGCACGTCCAGAAGGGGCGCAGGGAAGAGATCTCGAGGCCCTCGAGTGGCCGCGACGCGGCCTGAGGAGGCCCCCAGATCTCGGCCGAGGTCGGGGCTCTCCTCGGCCAGCCCCCTGCTCATGCCGCAGCGGGGGGGGGCGCCAGGCCCGCGGCCTTTGTCGCCGCGTCCGCGCCCGCCCCCGCCACGACCTCCCCCGCCGCGACCTCCTCCGCCGTCGCCTCCGCCGTCGGCTCCGCCGCCAGCAGAACCTCCGGCGCCGTGCTCGGCCGGAGACCCGCGCAGCCCGCCAGCACCGGTCTCGCGATCCTCCTTGGCCCGCCGGGACACGAAGCTGCGCATCTCGGGGCCGACCGCGCCCTCGGCCGACAGCTGGCCAGTGCAGTAGCGGGTCAGGTCCCAGGCAGGCTTGGCTGGATTGGCGTAGGCCGCCACGATGCCCGCCATGCGCCGACATATTGCCTCGATGCACAACAGGCCGCCGACGTTGACCTGGTCCACAGTTCCCGCGAGCCAGAGGGACTCCACGACGGTTCGCATCTCATGTGCAACTCGGTCCGTCCTGGCAACCCCCTTCTCTCGCATCCACTCGCGCAGCCATAAGCGAGGGCCCCCTCCGGTCTGCAGCATGCGCTTGGACGTCGCGAGCGCAACCGGGGGGGCCCTCCATGTGCTGCGACTCGCTGGTCTCGCTACTGCTCTTCTGGACCACTTGCTTCCAAGACTTGTAGCGTTCGCCCTGGCCGTCATAGTCGATCACCAGTCCGCAGATCGCCAGTCTCGACTGCCGCCTCGGCGGCGGCGGCAGGCGGGGGGGTGGCGGCCCCGCCCGGGGCCTCGGGCAAGGCCCGGCCCAGCCGGTCGCGGAGGTCGGACTCGTCAAAGCCTGGCCCCTCCCTGGCGACCCCCAGGCTCTCCTTTAGCTCGTCAGCGCGATGCTTCGTGTAGCCCGGGACCGCCTCAGAAGCCACCCCCTCGACGCGCCGCCAGCGGTCGCCCAGCTTCGCGAGGCCGTCGAGGCCGCTGGGCGTCCGCGACACCTGCGCGCCGCCGTCGATCTCCGCGCCGATGGTGCGTCGGCCGGTGGGCTCGCCAACACCCAGATGTAGCCCTCGGCCACGTCCGCGGCAGCCGCGGCCGCGAGCTGGTCCCGGTCCGACGGCGCGGCGGGCGGCGGAGCCAGCGGGGGGCGGCCGTCGCTCCCCGCAGGGGCGGCCGCGGGCCCGGCTGGTCGCCTGGCCGAGGCGGCGGCGGCCGCCTTGGGAGGAACCCCCCCATGGCGCCCGACGCGTCACCACCAGCAGCACTCGCTCGCGCGCGGGGGTCAGAACCGTCGTCACCTCGGGGGCCTCGCGGCCGAGAACGGCACGCACAACCGATCGGCCGTCGCGGAGCAGCTCTCTCAGTCCATCGGCGTCTGGATACTCGCGGAAGCGGTAGACCTTCATCGGGAACGTGGCCGGCGCAGTGCCGACGCCATCGAGCGGGATGGTGTCGGCCACTCCCCAATCCTCGTCTCTCGCCACTGGCTCGATGTAGTTCTCCGTCTGGCGACATGATACACCACTTCTATCTATCCACGGGCCGCAACAGGAGTCTCTCGCGGGCGACCTCGCCATCCGTGAACGTCGCCACGATGGGGCCGCCCGGCGCCAGGTCACGCAACCACGCCGCCTCCGCGTCGCGTCGGAGCAGAACCATGGCTGCGGCGACCCCGCCCGCACAAAATCCCCACGGACCGCCAGATCAATTGGCCGACGAGCACCGCGCTAGCCCCCGCCCCCACGCACGACCACGGGTCGGGCGTCTCCGGGCACAGTGGGGTTCTCAGACAGGGTGGACACGTGACCTCTGGACAGACAAACGCCTCCTGCTCGTGGCCCTCCGCGGCCGCCTCGGGCACCGGCGACCACCAGTCGGCTAGCAGTCCTCGCGCTAGCTGGCCCGCCTTGGCGGCGAGGATGGCCCAAGCGGGGTGAAGGGCGCGCTCGGGGCGGTCTGCAGGGGCGATCTCGCCCGTGCCCCGCGGGGCCCCTGCGAGCCCCAAAACAAGGGGCTATGGAGAGAACACTGTAGTGACAATGGGATAAGCCTCTCTCAACCTTCAACGCTGGCACAAACGGTTCTTCTGAATGCTTTTCCAAAGGCGACAAGGGGATAAATCACTCTCGACCTTCACGCGCAAGCACAAACATACTTATATATATATATATACAAATGTGTGTATATATATGCATATGTATATTTACATATGTATATATATACATATATATATCCACGTATTTATGCATATATACATTCACGTATGTAATCAATTATGAACGTGTATATAAATACATGCAAATACACACATGCACATCCATATACTCGCCGCAAACACGCACGTGAGCCAGAGAACTTGACGTTACATTGTCGAACATGTGCATCGGGGCTTGTAGTCTGAACGAAGTACGAAGCCCGGCAACCTCCGCACTCAGCCCGACTGCGAGCTGCCGGGAAAGTCGGGGCGCAGGGGCAGTTTTACTAGTGATCAGCACGCTGTGCCATTTCGCGCAAACAAATCCTTCGACAGAGTGCCCGCTGACCATATGCACTGGGGTATCAGGCGCGGCTGCTACGCGTGAGCTGTTTTGACCACCTGCATCCACATGAGTGCTGCACCTCGCTGCTGCTTCCTAAGCTGGTACGCCAAGCCTCCGATCGGCGCCTTTCCTGGGAGCCTGACTGCTTCCGCCGCCCTGACGACGATAATGAGCAAGTTCGTGCTCGTATCGATCACAGGCGAGCGGTGATAGTCCTTCGCTGCCAAAACGTTGCTCTTCTCTCTGTTAGTCGCAACCGGCCAGTGTCCGCCGACGCTGCACCTGATCCTGTAGAGCTCCGCCCTGCTCGAAGTAGTCGATGCGCCTGCGCGCGCGAAACCTCTCCTCCAGCTCGCCTGGCGACCCCGAATTTATGGCCGAGGCCAGCCGTTGTACCCCGAGCACCGCCATATGGGTGTCGACGGACTTGCCTTCCACGTTCTGCTGTCCGAGATCGCCAAGCATGTCTCGAAACTTGCGAAGATGCGTGAGCCCGCGCGAAAGTCCTGCCCCTGCCGCCTCCACGTTGATGTCGCAGCGTTTCGTGGCCTTCTTCGCGCTGATGATGACAGGCTGGCCCGACGGGCGCCGAAACTACGTGTCCTTCGCCTCCTGCTCGCGCTGCCTCGCCTCCAGCTGGAGCTGAAGATGCCTCTCAGGGTCATTGGGGCTGGTGGTCTTCGTCATCCTGCGCGCCGGAGCGCCGCCCCCTCCCGCCGCCGCCTCCGCCGATGCCTCGTCGACCGCCGATGCCCCCGCCGCGACTTCCCCCGATCCATCCCCTTCTGCTGTCGATGCGGGGGGCCAGGGGGGCATTGAGCGAAAGGCCATGCTCGTCGAGGCGAACGGGCTGTAGGCGTCGCGAGATCAGGCGCCCGCCTAACGCCACTGCGCCCTCAGCAAAATTGCCATGCAGCGTGCGCCTGCGAAGCCTGCGCTGCGCTTTGGGATGGGCTTCGGCGCTGCCGCCGACGAAACGCATGCTCTGTTCTGAGGGCGTCGAGGACGCGGTGCTGCGCCGCTGCGCAACGGCGCAGCCCGGGCAGTAATTCGACCGCGCGGCTGCATGCGGAATGCCCCCCGCCCCTGGCCCTCAGCCCGAGGCCAAACATAACAATCTTCTACGCGGTGGCCCTAAGTTCGCAGAGCGCCCCCCCCCCCTCCTCCCCGAGCGGCACTCGCTCTGAAATTCGACCTGGCCTAGGGCGGCCCCGAGGGCCTGGGCGCGCTCTCTCTGAGGTGCTTCGCCGCGGCCAGAAGCAACGCAATTCTGTGAATAAAAAACAAAAAGAGGAGCCGATTTCGAACTTCCCACAGAACCCTCCACTGAAAATGGGCGCCATTCCCTGACCGCTGCCGTTTTTCCCAGTAAGCCTGCCCTTCAGAAGTACGCTTTCCGCAGTTCGCTGCTGCAGGCTCAAGACAACACCTGCTGACGGAGGGTCACGCGTTCATCTCGCGCGCCCCCGGCCCGCCGAGAGCGGAACTGACGGCCTGCCCCGCGCCTGAGCCTGAGTGGAATTGAGGAAATCCAGGAGCGCCCAAGCTCCCCCACGCGCCATGTCGACGGCAGCAAGACGAGCTGGCTTCTCTGAGGTGAACCTGTTGCCGCAGTGATGCGTGCCTCCAAGACACGTGGCTGGCGCGACAGCTTTGCCCGCTTGGCGCCCTGGGTGCTACTGGAACACCCAGTTCAACTTTGGGCGTCCCAGTTTGCATTCTGAACAGCATTGCGCTGTCTCTGTCGGTTCTGTGCTCCTCCAACGTCCTCGGGCCCAACATCAACGATGGGATTGCCCCGCGCGCTTGAGAAAGATGACCAGAACTGGCGCCCAAAACTTCCTGGCCCACGCCGCCCGCGAAGCCGCTGGCGGCCAAGCCGACGCGTTCATGCTCGAGTCCAATAGGCATCGACGCAACCTCGGGAAGGTTGCCACTCGTCTCCGGTCATGCTCAAAGTTGCCACGCGAGCTCCATCTCCACGCGCATTGGCAACTGCCCGAGTGGACGCATGGCCCCTTTGAAAAACTTCTTCTCCGTAGTGCGCACGTGCGCTGCGCAATCCGTCGGCGGCGATGAACGATCAACCATTGGCCCTTTGCTCCATGAAGATGTAGACCCCAGTCTCGGTTATCTCATTATCGGCAGCCACAGGGCGATGTCATTGTAGAAAGCATTGCTGGTGCCATGCTATGTTGCGACAAGACGAAAGCCTGAGCGTCGTGGTCTAAACGCACAGCGCAACTGCACTAGCATCGCGTCTTCTCTTCTGAGAGCGATACCTCATGCGCCCAGACGGGGGGACCTGTTTCCGAACCAGAACGCTCATGTACAATGCGCGCCCAAGACCGCGTGAAAACGTGATGGGCCTCTCTCCTAATGCGCCTGATGTTTTGATTTGCGCGCGGGTGATCGTCTGCCGAACACTCCTGCCCGTGGCGCCGAAACGACGAGCGAGGGGCCCGAAGAAGGGCCGAAAT